TTATTTGACATTTTCTATTTTTTTCTTTATAAACAGTTTACCAGGAGCTTACTTTATTGCTCTCAGAAGTCAGATACTAACCAGTTGTCTCCAGTCTTACCCAGAACTAAAAGTGCTTCACACATGGTGAGGATGACAGCTGCCTGAACGTCACAAATATCCATGCTGCAGCCATGCTTCTTCAAGCACATGGCGGCTGTAGGGACACTGCACTGGCTGATTTATCTTGTAATGATTTGTATGGGAGAGAGGCGAAAAAGATGGCTACAACCTAAGGACCTGTCAACCTACTAGGCAACTTGTTTCTGCAGTCTCTTCTCATCTGAATACACAAAACGGATCTGCGAAGTTTAAATTCAGCTCAAGTTTTTAAAGATATCAAAACTGTGTCAAATCTAGGCTCTGTAAAACCTCACATCACTTAGAAAAAGAAAAATAATGATGATTAGGGGAAGACTGAAGGCTAAGAGTTTCATCATTTGATTTTTTTTCCCTTTGTGACTTATTTAGGTAGAATTCAGAGGAGCTGGGTGTCTCTGACACTGTGATTCTGGACATATGATACTTTTTAGTCACCCTCACAACAGAATTTTATTTGATGATCTTCAAAGTCTTCCAGCTCTAATAATTTAGTAAGCATTATTTTTGGACTATATTGCCCCCTGCTGGTACTTTGCTAAATTATATTTTCTAAAAACAGTATTTGGCTTGATCCTTTATTTTCTTTCCTTATTATTGCCCACTAATCTAATTTCCTACTCTACATCTAGAGGTCCTTGATTTTAAAAAAATATACTCTGTAATGTAGACTTTAAAATTTTGCTGTTCAGTGGAAAGTGTGATGGTTCTAATGGCTCATCATCTACCTCCAGCGCTGGGATGCAATACAGGCACCAGTTCGTGTCCTGGCTGCTCCACTTTCCATCCAGCTCCCTGCTTGTGGCCTGGGAAAGTAGAAGAGGAAGGCCTAAATCCTTGGAATCCAGCACCTGCATGGGAAACCTGGAAGAAACTTCTGAGTCCTGACTTCAAATTGGCTCAGCTCTAACCATTATGGCCATCTGGGGAGGGAACTAGTACATGAAAGATCTGTCTCTCCTTGTCTTTGTAAATCTACCTTTCTAGTAAGAATAAATAGATAAAACTTTTAAAAAAAGATTTTGCTGTCCTAGTTTCTTTGAAAGTTCTGTCGCTCCCTGATGGACTTTCATAATTTCCTATGGTTCAGTCAGTTTTCACTTTATGTGTTTGAGGGTAAACAGATTTATACAAGATTAAAATTATCTTAATAGTAAATTAATCAATGATTTACTTAACTTTCTCTATTCCTAATAATGTTTGTCTTATACTTTAGCTTATATTAATAGACCAACCTTTCTTAGGAGAAAATACACAGTGAATCTTTTTTTCTCCTTCACTTTAAGATTTGTATGTCCTTATGGCTTAAGTTTGTTCCTTATAAACATATTGACAGCTTATTCTTTTTTTTAAAGATTTGTTTATTTTTATTGGAAAGGCAGATATACATGGAGGAGGAGAGACAGAGAGGAAGATCTTCTGTCTGTTGATTCACTCCCCAAGCAGCCACAACAGCTGGAGCCGAGCTGACCAGAAGCCAGGAGCTAGGAGTTAGGAGCCTCCTCCGGTCCTCCCACGTGGGTGCAGGGTCCCAAGGCTTTCAGCTGTCCTTGACTGCTTTTCCAGGCCACAAGCAGGGAGCTGGATGGAAATCAGGACTACCAGGATATGAACTTGTGCCCATAGGGGATTCTGGTGCGTGCAAGGTGAGGGCTTTAGCTCCTAGGTTACCATGCTAGGCCCTGATGGTTTATTCTTTAATGAGTTGAATCCTTGGTCAAACACTCAAACCCAACTGTAAAGACAGGTGTTTAGCACAGTAGCTGAGGCACTAGGTAGCTTAGGATGCGTTTATCAAAATGCCTGCTTAGAGTTCTGGCTCTGCTTCTAATCCAGCTTCCTACTCATGTGCACCCTAGGAAGGCAGATGCTGGCCCAAGGGCTCCCTGGGTCCTCAACACCCATAGGAAAGTAAGTTGGAGTTCCTCTCTTGGCTTTGGCCTGATCCAGCTGACAGTTGTGGGCTCTCTGTCCTTTCAAGTAAAACCAAATTGTTTTAAAACACCATTCTAGTACTCCTTAGGCTTTTGCAACAATATGCTAATAAATCTTAGATTTGGGGCATACAGTACCAGGCCCAGCACATCCCTAGCCAGGCTTTGCTGGTATACACTATATGCTTGGCAGCAGAGTGGGTGGGGGCTGCGAACTACGTTGCAGCCTCCGTAGCACACACAAAGTGCTATACCTTCTTAGTGGTGGGAGAGCTACTCTTGCAAAATCAAAGGGTCCAGTATGGACAGCCAGTATTTTTAAAGGCAATTATTCAGTTCTCACTGTGGTGTTTCAAGCTTCTAAGCTTTCCTCAATCAGGGCCCTGAGGTTCACAAAATAGATCTTTGCTGAACATTGAAACTTCTAAAATGGTAACTTCTGCAACTGCCACGTTCAGCCAAAAGCTCAACTGTTTAAAATCTACAGGAGACAGATCTCCTTAAAAGTCCACTTGGAGTCTCCTAGGCCAAGTAGTTTATTATAAACAGTCCATTCAGGTGGGCACTGCTCTCCACACCCCCCACCCCAGTATCTGCATTACTGATCCTCCTGGAGAATTCCCCCAAGTTAGCACTTGTGTCTCAGATCTTCAACATCGCCCTCAAATTGAATAATACACTAGAACTCACAAACTAAGCTCTGTATTATGTATTTTAGAAAAAAAACATCATGAGAAAAACAGGAAGCAAAGTTATCAAGAGAAAGACACATGGCAAAGTTAGAGGAAGTTTTCATAAGCTTCTTCCAGTAGTCTCACAAAAGTGACTACAAACGTGATCCCTCCTATAACCATGTTATGGCGCTTTCCATCAGGGGAGCCTGCCTAATTGAGCTAGGAATCAAATTATTGGGGGTCAGTAATGTAGTTACCCTTTGCCTAACAAGTACTAAAAAGTGTAGAAAAGCAAGCAATCAACCTAAATCCTATTATTTGGACAAAAATTTGGGGCGCAACAAGCCACCCTTGTTGATAAGGAATGGTGGGGATATTCATGAAATCCAAGTTCCTGGACACTAGCCAAAAGCAAATCTTCTAAGCTGTTTGTAAGAAAAATAGGTCCAAGTCAACAGTGCAAGCTCTTCTCTGTAGATAATTCATAAAATTAGCAACTGCACTGGCAAGGTACTTTGCCAAGTACCCGCCAACACATCAACCTCTTTATCTCCTCCCACCCTCTAACTAACTCAGATCTCACTACTGGACTGCTTGTATTACATCTGAGTCCTCCAAAAAGCAGACATCAACATCAAGAAGGGATCCTCAACAACAGTTTATTAAGAGCAAGGCTGCTTAGGAGAAACAGGCAGAGAACTGGATGCTGACAGCAACAAGCCCACAGTGCGGACAGGATTCTGGGAGATTAAAAGAAGTTAGAAACCAAGGTTGGGTGAAAGCAACTCAGACATCAGTGCAGCTCTAAGGAAGTTTGGCCAGACCACCAGAGTCTTGCAGTCAATGTTCAGGAATCACATAGCCCGATCAGGACCAGCCATTGGTTGGCAGCAGCACTGATCAACAGCCAAAACTTAGGCTGGATCCCAGAGCCTGCTGGCTGAGTCTCCAGGCAACTACGCCTCCTCCTGCTGGAGATCTAAGATGCACTCCCATGGTTGCCACCATAGTGGTTATGGCTTTCAAAATGCACCTGAAAAAGATTTGTGGTCATATTATTTAGCACCAACAGTACATAATAATTTATAATAAAGAGCTTTTATTTAAAATAAATAAATAAAAAGCTAATTATGCATCCACCTCAAATACAACACTGATTAATAATGAAAATGCAAGTCACTTTTTCATTTCATAAACCAAATAACAGACTATTGCAATGAAGTCTGGGGAAATGACTTCCCCAACTCCCCGCCAAATGATTTCGTGAACTGGGAGCATCAACAAACACACAGAAAACTTGCATGTATCAGCACCAAGATAAGGCTAGCCAACGACTATGAAGCATCTAAACATTCACAACTCAGAGTGGTTCCTAAAATACACCAACTTAAAAAGGTTTCCCAGAAGATGAAGGGCAGAACAAATTGATCAATTACCCTAGCCGAGTGTTGGCAGTGAATACTTGGGCAAACGGATACTCTGTGGTGGACTGTGTCAGCAAGAGGATTCTGGAGATTTCAATGTGATTGGAGTGATGAGATCGGCAGCAATCCAGAACTGTTGAACTATCAAAACCACTTGAACAGGACCCTCGGAATATGCCCCACATCGGGCACCCTGAGATGGCTGGGAGGCTGGGTGTGGCTTCTGCCCTTATTATTCCCCTTCCCTCAGATAAAAGAAGGAAAAAAGATTGTAGAAACAATGGCCTCACTCACTTTCCACTAGCCCTTCACCCTTCGCACCATAATCAATTATATAAACTCCTTAAAAAAAAGCTTCCTAAAAATTTAATTACCTATAATTTGGGAACTTATAAATTATATCTATCTATATATAGATATCTATATCTGTGTGTTAAAACTGAAAGAATACCTTACTAAATACTATGTAACATGATTGATTGCCACTTTATTTCTTTTTAATTAAGGTTGCCTTTGTAAGTAACAATGGCTGCCACGAATTGAAACACAACATGAAGCCAACAAGATCAAGATTTCTGCTCTCTGCTAAGCTTTGACTAGAAAGCTGGTCTCACTGTCGTTCTCCAGCTGTTTTTCCACCAGTATGTTTCTAACACATATGAAACGGTTCTAAGTCAGTTCATTCCCAGTCTACGCAGCAAGGCTCTGCTATGCATGGACTTTATGACATGCTGGCACAAATAACAAAGCTGCTTAAAATGTACAAAGAAAATAAAATATTTAATGTAAAAAAAGATGTCTGTTTAAAAAATGAGATCAGTACCATTTTAATGTAGAAGATGCCATTTTTATTTACACACTAATAAAAAAATATTAAATCCAACTAGATATAATACATTTGGCACAAATCCTATAGATTTGCAGCCAACTCTATGTGGAAGACTGGTTAGGTGGAATAGATTACATAATGAGGGTATCAAATAATGTGAAATTGACACTTGAATCACTATTATCTTTTTGTTTCTAAACATCAAAACAAAGTCTACTGTGGTAGGACAAAAACCCAGCAACACGAACAAGCTGTGCTAACTCTTGATAACTGCTTGGTTATAATTTTCAAAACCCACAGAATTTTCATTTTTAAAGTCTATTTTAGTAAGTCTCATAATCCAATGTTGCTTTTCCATTATATCTATAAGAAATAATAATGAAGCTTAACATACATAACCACAATCCTCAGATTTTACTGAAAATGTCTAAATTCTTCGGTGTGCATATTTTTCTCCCACTTTTACCTTGCAATGACTTTGCTAATCCCTTCCATATCTGTATTTTTCACTGCAACATGAGCTTCTGCCCAGTAAATGAGAAAATGTAAAACTGGTTTCCACTAAGGGTTTTGGGCGCCTGCAAGTCTGGTTCATCCCCAAAGGATGCATATTCTGAAGTGACCTTTTAACTAGGGACCGTCTAACCCCTTGGAGGGGTTACAGAGTGGATCAACAGTGCTCTGTTGAATGCTTGCAGACCAATGCTAAACTGCAACAAAAAGGAAACTACACAGGGATTTTAAACTTCTCTGAGCTTTGCATTCTGTTGGTTGGTCCTTGAGAGGAATCTGAACCATAAACATCTCACACAATCAAATTACACGGTAACCTCACCGAAATGGCAATTTAAGTCTCTAAATATAAGTACTTGTTGAAAAATTAAAGGGTTACCAGCTTGCATGTCCACCATTTCCTAAGGATTTAGTCAAAACAGAAAATAAGTCTTCTCAAAAACTGCTATGGTCAGTCCAGCCTGTGTTTTGAGAATAACATGGTTTTGTGTTTTAGTAAAAAGAAGTTTGCAGATCTCCTACAATGGAATACTTTTTGTTTTTAAAACTAAATGAGTATACTGGCTAAAACCCTTTGTGCACATCTCAAGGCATGTGTGGGGATGTGTGCTTGGTGTAGGAAGAGTTCATGAGGAAAGAAACACTTATCTTTTAAGAGGCCTAGCCTGTCAAGAGCAAACAATAGTAATGTAACCTGCTTATTCAATATATAATCATTAAATACCAGCTTTTGCTTAGAGACAATGTTATGCTACAAAGTATTTTAATATCAGTAACAATATACACTATGAAGTGCACTTCTATTACAAATTAGCATGGTGACATACAGATGGACTGGAAGCTAACTCTCTCCACCCACCCACCCCCAAAAAAACTTACATGAGCAACAGCTACAACATTAAATTCATAAATAGCAAAATCATGAAATAAAGTATATACAATTGATAAGTTCAACTTTGAACAAATAGTGCATTTGGGAAAGACAGGAAATGTATTATATTACCTAACATCTGAACGGTAGAAAGGGAGATACTGATAATTCTCTGAAAACCTTCTGGACTTTCTCCCACATAGTATTCCCTTAAACATACATTCTTTAAAAGAGTGATGTAAGCAAAACTATTCCCCTTTTAAACGCCTTGTTTTGACTTTGCCTCATGGGGCACAACTGGCTGCAGAATGGCAAACAAGAGAGGAGGCGCTTTACACTCAAACCTCGGACAAGAGAACTAGCAACTTCAGAGTTGGCATATGCAAAGTGTTTGAATCAGATATTTTCTGACATAAACACCCACCCAAAAAGTGTTCACCTTGGTCCCAACTTTTTAGATGACTGGCAAATTAGCTTATTAAAAAACTATTCTTTGAATACCATGTATTTTGTGGCATAGTAATAAATCTGAGCTTTTCTGCTAGAAAACTTATTGGACTATCACAAGGGAAATTATGCACAACTCAGATTGTATAAAACTGACTTCTGTGGATCCCAGAAAATAAACATTTGGTTCTAAACATTAATGTTATAATGCTCCAATACCATGCACACAGGTCAACATAATTGAGAACAGATAGGATACGCTCATCTGTATTTCTTTTAAAAATCAAAAGTAAAATGTACAGTAACGTTGGAAACTATTCTAGTGCAGCACTGATTGATAAAATATTAGAGAAAATTATTTTGTACTGCATCAAATAAAGTTGGAAGGCAAACCTGTTACAGTATTTGATCACCAGGAACTGATTGATATCGGAATGCACAAAAATTTTTATAAAAGACCTAAAACCCCTTCTTTCAGTCAAGCCTACCCCTCTGCCATTCACTGAATCAAGCTGTGACCCTTCCAATAACCAAAGTTAACATTCAGAAATATATAGGATAAATTCATTTACTCTCTTGTATTTAAAGGCTATTTCTTACAAAATTTCAATTACCAAAGTCCTTCTACTAAATGGAAAAGAAACCAAATAAAACAGTAGTGTTTCATTTGGTATTGAAGAACCTAGTAATATCCCTTTAGGAAACACATGCTTTGGTGCTTAAAATTTCAACAAAATCAAAACTGCTTGACATGCAATGGCTAATTATGGTACACCACAGAGAACAGGGGACTGGATGCGTGTAGACCTGCTCACGTGACGCCCTGAGGCATCCGCCTTTCACTCAGGCCAACAACAGCCTCCCTTCATCTTGAATGGTCTTCGTCACCGTCTCCCCAATGCCCCATTTTCAAAATAGTCTGATTAACAATCTTGTCTGGAGATAGAGTCAATTTAATAAGATTTTTTATGATACATATTGTGTAGATCATCTAATTTTGAAGCACTGTCATCTGGTGGAGTTTCACTTGAACTTGCAAGGTCTCCATTTTCATGCGCATCAGTTACTGTCTTGTTATACTCTGAAAGAAAGGAAAATGAAAAGGATAACTTTTCGCTTTTAAAGATATTTAGCTAATCCTTTTGCTGTATAAAAAAATAAAAGAAACATTTACTGTCTACTGTAAATGGATATAAGGCAAAATGGACAGGGCTTAGATTAATTAAATTAGCAGTTATATGCAAATATCAACAAAGTAGAAAACACAAACAATGACTTAGTAATACACTACGATGAAAACTTTGATCTCACTGATTCCTCTAAAAGATCACAGGAACCACCAAGACCCACCAAATCATTACTCTTTGTGAAAGAAAATGCTAGACTCTTCCTTCAAACATATAAAACACAGCAAAGGAACAAAAAGGTAACACGTCCTGACTCTGAAAACAATTTTAATATGACAGTCTAAAGTCTTACTCAGATGCACCCACTGAACTATGAAACAACTTCCATTAAGATATAGACACACATTAAGATTTCAGAGTCCAGGATCCAGCATGGTAGCCTAGCAGTTAAAGTCCTCGCTTTGCACACGCTGGGATCCAGTATGGGTACTGGTTCTAATCCCGGTGGCCCCCACTTCCCATCCAGCTCCCTGTTTATATGCTGGGAAAACAGTAGAGGAGTGCCCAAAGCCATGGGACTCTGCATCCGCATGGGGGACCCAGAAGAGGCTATGGATCCTTGGCTTTGGATCGGCGTAGCTCTGACCAGTGCAACCACTTGGGGAGTGAAACATTGCACGGCAAATCTTCCTCTCTGTCTCTCCTCCTCTCTGTATATCTGACTTTCCAATAAAAATAAAATAAAGAAAAAAAAAATTTCAGTGTCCAGAAAATTTGAGTTTTACTTATTTCCTAAGGATCATATGGTTTGTAACTGGTAATACACCTAACAGTGCAGGATGAATCCAGAAGAATATGAATGTTAATTGAATGTAGGTAAAATGACCAGTGCACAAGTAAGGAAAACTTGTTCGTTCCTTTGGTTTCCCCCTTCTGAAAGCAGCATTAACTGAAGAACAACTAGGCCTTCACATTTTAAAAACTCATCAAATAATGTGCCTATAATAATTCAGGGACACTTACCTTGTTGTAACACTTTGGTATCTCCACTTGCATCTTTAGAGCTAGCACCAGGATGGCCGCCTCCCTCTAACTCATCAAGGTACAAACGGTAACGATGTCCACTCTCATCTTCATACTCTACATTTTCATCATCGGAATCTACTTCAGGAGCCACATAAACTACTTCAAATTCAATCTCTCCTCTCTAACACAGGAAACAAAAACGAGCAAGTTAAGTTACCATTAATGGAATAAAGAAAAAGATGACTCCAATCCTTAGGAAGGAGAATGAGAGGTGAGGAAAATTTCAGATAAAATTCCTTTCTAGGCAAGAAGCAATGAAATTCCAGAATCCTAACAGGTAGAAGGGCCCTGGAAGGCCATGATGTCCAGGCTACCACAGGAGTCCTCTCACAAGCAATGCTAACTGCACTAGCTCTTTCTACCAACCACAATATTTTTGTTAACAGATCTAAGATCTTTTTTTTATTACATTTCATTTTATGACATCATTTCATAGGCTCTGGGGTTCCCCCAACCCCTCCCCGTACCCTCCCCCCTTGGTGAATTCCTCCACCTTGTTGCAGTACTACAGTTCAAATCCAGTCATGTTCTTTCATTGCAAGCATGTACCATGAAGAGAGTCCAGCATCTTATTGTCCAGATAAATTCAACAGTTTCTTGGGGAGACCATCTCTGGTCTAAAAGCAGAGCTGGCAGAATATCGTCCCAACCAATTAAAAGCCATAACATAACATCAACAACAGTTTATAACAGTATGGAGTTAATTGACATGGTATTGAGTGACTGAAATTTTAGAAAATGCAAGTTCTTAACCACATTCTGTGACTACTTCACTGACATTTCAATTTTAGTTTATACATAACCAGCTGCTATACCCCTTAAAATGGCTATAGGGTACTATTCAGCTTTCTCATGTCTATTTTCATGTTTGTATTTAGCAGTTTATTGTATTGAAGCATAATTTTTACTGAATTTGGCAGATTTTAGAATAGTCCAAACTGGCTTATAACTTTAACAAGACATAAGTCAACAGTTGAGGCACAGAACAGTTTTAGGAGGGGTGTGCAGAGAAACCTTCAATTCCCCAGTGAGGAGTAACTTATTTTAATTTCCTACCTAGTAAGGTATATGTGAGTCCAAGCTGACCGTTTCCTGTCTGGTTCTAGGATTTCCTTGTTGTTTTCTGTCTATCTATTCTATTTTTGCTGTTGTTTTGTGTTTTGGGGGGTGCTCTGGAGCCACCCTGATGGTCACCGCAGGAGAGAATGGGGATCCAAAGTTGGAACTATGTAAGGACCAGAGAAAGCTCCTCTCCCTAGTCCCGAAGGGAGTTGACTGTTCTCCTGTTTCTGCAGACTGCTCAGGGCTCCTGGCTGTTGTTCCGATGACCTTGGATCCTGTGAGGAAGGATTTGGGCTTCTTCCATCCCATGTGGGAAACTGAAATGGGAGTGGGTGACCTCAGAGTTCTCAGCCTCTGAAGGCACTCCAATTCCCCATGGTCTCCTTGGCTGTTGGGATGTAGTCCTTGGTGCCCGTACTGATAGTCCTTGGTGAGGATCCGGGAGTCTCCAGGGTTGGAATACAAGCCTTCTCCTGTCTACCTGCTCCACTCTGGGTTCGCCCCCCCACAAAAGATCTAAAAATCTTAAAAAGGATATTTTCAATCCTCACAATAACTCTACTCTCGTTTCTTTCACAAGAATAAGAAACCTGAGTGAATCTTAGAGCAAGCAGGTTAATTTTCCCAATATGAAACGCAATTATTCAGAAATTTGGCAATTTGGCTCCAACTTGCTCTTTCTACTATGCTTAATCAAATGTATAGTAGCTATATTGTTATTGTTAGGTTACAACTATTTTATTCTTAAAAATTTTAAGCTATAATTGTCACCTAATAAGAGACTATAATTGCTACATATAAATCTGATGTCTGTAACTATGAAAATTATGGCTTATCTTTGCTCAAAAAAAAGTGTGTCATTTCTGACTGCTATTCACCAGGCTTCTTTTCCTTGGAAGTTTAAGGTTATATCTCGGAGTTTTAATATGCGCTTACTGTTTCTTTAAAACTACCCTCCTTGTTGCTCCTCCTCCACGCTGTCATTCCTCCCACTCCTGCGCTAACAGATGACAGCCAATTTGGCTATGAAAATACTACTTTAGAAGGCTAAAGTAGCATTTTTTAAAATCTCTTTTTATCAGATAGTGCCCTAAAAACACCGCTTTGGAAAACAGATGGATAATGCAGGGGTCTCTGACCATGTTTTCAAAGACACAATTAGATCTGTGGCTAGCTCTCATGGAGGCAAGGAGTTCTGGCTTCATATGAGAAAGAACTTTGTACAAGCCAACACTGTGGGATCAGCATTGTGGCGGAGCAGGTTAACCATCACATGGGACACCTCATCCCATAATGCAATACAAGTTCCAATCTCAGATTCTCCTCTTCTGATCCAGCTTCCTCTTAATGTGCCTGGGAAGGCAGGGGATGATGGCCACCCATGTGAGACCTGGAGAGAGTCCCTAGCTCCTAACCTTAGCCTTTCTCACTCTGTCTGGCTGCTATACTTTCAAATAAATAAATAATTCTTAAAAAAAAAAAAAGCAGCACTGTACAGTAACAGAATGGACTGTTTGGTCATCAGCAAATACCCTTTTAAATGCTATTATTTAAGTAGAAACATGTAGATTTATATATCATGTAAGCTGAATCAATGCGTTATACATTCATTTTCTTCAATTTGCTCCTCAAGGGTAAAGTCATTTTCTGAGTACTTTATATGTACTAACAAACAATGCCCGCAGCTCTCTTTCATTACTTATACACACAGCGATACTAAGGCACAAACTACTTAAGAAATTTGCTCCATTACATGGCCATACAAGAGTAAACAAAATGATCCTTTTCAAAGACCATTTCAAAGATGACGAAATGTCATCTATAAAAGTCTCAAATAAAAGAAAACAAATATCCATCATGAAACCTATACACTTTACTATTAAGAAACTTCACAGGAGAATATAAAGGACTTAGATGAGTCAGAAATAACCAACCGATGGATGTAACTTTAATTATACAGAGGGGACTCACCTGTTGGGAAAGAATGGTTACAGCTTCTTTATGCTTTGTGTCCCTTAGGTTAACGCCGTTGACAGCCAAAATAGCATCTCCTACATGCAGCCCTCCACATCTATCAGCAGGTTGCCCTGGATGGATCTCTGAGATGAGGATTGGAACTCCATGTTCTTTCCCACCCTAACAACAATAAAAGGTAGTTAATTAGTTAACTGTTTACAAAGTTTATTCAGATTATCTTAGAGATAAAATGTTTTCCTAAGAGTTTCAATAAGCCCCTATACTATCTATTTACATGCTAGATGAAATTTTATTGCTATTTAGGTAATAACAGATACATTATTAAAAGTATCAGAACTGTATGTGCTTTTCTAAAACACATTCCAGAGGGAAAAACAACTATATAATATATATTGAAAAACCCAACAAACCCTACAATTGGCTAAGTTCTAAAACATAAATTAAAATATTTATGTGTGTTTAATTCATAGTACTACCATATTTCATCAAACTTAAATCATTATGAATGACAAGACCAATTATTTTATGTAAGAAAGAATAATACTTAAGATGAACCTCAGTTACAGAGATGTTAAGGCATGAAAAAAGATGCAATGTAGAACTGAAGAAATAAAGTGTAAGTCACCCATCACTTCCAAGCTTGTGTCATAATTTCCTGTGTTTATGTATGTATGCTTTCTTTACCCTACTAGAATTTCTGCTCTTTGAGTACAGCATATTGACAGGTAAACTCATGCAGTAACTAAACATTAGCAAATGAAATTTGCTTCTTTAAAGCACTGAGAGTACAAAAAAAAAATCACTCCAAATGTATGGATTTTGTAATTGATGCTATTAGGAACACTAGCCAAGACAACCATTTGCAACAACATTAAATGTAGGAAAGAATACATCTGGGACTGGTGTTGTGACATGGCTAGTCAAGTCACTGCCCAACACCAGTAGCCCACATGGATGCCTGCTGGTTTGTGCCCGACTTCCCTTCCTTTGATACAGCTCCATGCTAAAGGCCAGGAAAAAGCAGTGAGGATTCCCAGCTCCCTGGCCTCTTCTACCCATGTGAGATACCTGGCTGTTGCAGCCACCTAGGTAGTTAACAAGTGGATGGAAGACCTCTCTCTTTTTCTCTAACTCTGACTTTGCAAAAAAAAAGTTTTTTTTAATATATACATTTGAGTCCAAGAGCCAATAAAACCAGACAAAAATGAGACAAGAGAACAGAACCCATAGAAAGAGGAACAATACAATCTGGAGTCATTTGCCATACATGGAAACAGTCATACATATTTCCAAAGGTTTCTAGAGCCATCACAGTATTTGGTGTAGAACTGCACACTCTCAGCCACAAAAATCATTTGGAACTATGTTTTATAAAAGTACACATAACACACAAACAAAAATATTTATATGTAAGTAGTGAGCTCATCATACTCTACTTAACTATTCAGAAAATCAACCAGGAATACGTTTCTACCCAATAATGTACCATAAAGCATGACTATAATAGATAAGTATAGAAAAGGAATCTGGAAGCACTACTTCTTACTGTAATTGAAATGCCAAGGCCTTCATGATCTTCTTTCAAGAGGAGAACTTTCCTAATTGGACCAACACCTTGACTTTTCTTTAAGGAATCTTGATCCTTAAGGGGTAAAAACAAGTAAGTTAGTATCACTTAACATACCAAATAAAGTCATGCTATACTACATACTTTTAGAAGTCTTCACAGATTTGCAGGTATAGAGACATAATAAAGTGTTAAGAAAGTAACTAACATAAAATTTAGAAGATTAAAACAATTATTTTAATATATTAAAGCATATTGACAATTGTATTATCCTTTTGCCATGTTTTTAATATTCATAAATCCCTTTCAAACTGTAGGATATCAAACACAAATTATTGCCAGGAACTGATGAGAAGTATCCTCCAAAAACAAAAGGTAGTAAATGCCTATCTCTGCTGGGAAATATTTGCAAGGTATACAACCATTTAATCTGATTCATAGAACTGAAAACTGAATTTCCAACTGGATTATGAATTACTATTAAATTATTTTGTTCCAGTAATATCAATTCTTTACTGCGATCTTCATTTTTTTCTTTACAAAATTCTTTCCTATTCATCAGATTAAACAAATCAAGTCTCTCCTAGTTTTAAAAACACCGGCCACATGTAACTAGCAAACAAAACAAAATATCCTTCAATAACCTACTATTTCTGTACTGGTGTCTCTCTTTGCCAAATACCCATACATAATTTATCTTCATCATATCTACTTTCTTGTTGCCCACACTTAGTACTTTGATAATTTTAACTAGTAGATACTGTTTGCCAGCCTTCCTTGAAAACTCCTGTATGACTTTCATAAGAGCTTATATCATCTCAAGCTCCTTCTAATGCTTCACTTCATAGTCTTCATCCTTGGAGAAGTTCCCCTGTGTGAGTTCATCAATTTCATGGTTTCAATTATGGCACATGGATGATTTCCCTAATATTTCTTCCCTCTTGAATTCTAGAACCATACATCCAACTTGTTCTATCTTGGATGTCCTATTGGCACTTCAATACTATAAATGTAAAACTTATTTCATTACCATTATCCCCAAAACATCCTTTTTCTCTATCAATAAATGCCAGATATGTTAGTGACCCACAACACAAACCTGTATCTCCCTTCTCATTTAATCAGAAAAGTCCAGTTACAAATCAAGTCCCCCTGCTTCTGATTCTCTCAACTCTGTCCTTGTTCTCAAATGTCTCGTCCTACTTTTATTACTTCCTCTTTGTATTACCAGAGTATCTCAAACTCAGTTAGTCTTCTCCCAATATATACTCTTCATAATACAAAGTGCCTGTTAAAATTGAGAATCCTCCCAGCCTACACAAAATTATGCCACATGATTCAAAATTCAAAATGAAAATTTATTTTAAAAAATTGTGAATCTTATTAGGACCACTATTTTATTTAAAAGTCTCCCTATTAGCAGGTACATATTAAAATAGCTTTATTGATTACTAAATAACCTGTCATCTGGCCATGCCTACAACTACAAGTTCATACTTTGCCACTTCCATAGGTAAGCTTTTATCACTCCAAAACACTTAACACAAACCATTTTCTCCCCTAACATCTCCACTCCCAAGTCTATAGAAGCTACAAGTTAATGTGGAGAAAACAGGGCAGGGGCATATTCCTTTTTTTAAATCAATTTTTAAGCATACATCAATTTTATTTTCTTAGATGATGTTTAACATTATTGATCAGAATGGGCTGGGAAAAATGTGTATGATCTTTGTTTTCAAATTTTCTATTTCTCCTTTCTCATCAATTTTCTTAGAATAACCTTTGCAGAGATAAAAAAATTATTTTCCTATTTAAGGCCATACTCTATTTGGTGATAACATATGTGAGTCACTATCAGATTTAGACAGGCTTTCATACGTTAAGGTTTGTATTATATCAAGCAGCTACTGTAACAAAACTTAATAAAGATTTTATTGAAATAAAAAGGAAAGTTTCTGAAACAACAGTGGTTCCATAAATAGGCAGTGAGGCACAGATCTAAAATTCCATCTGAATCCAAACAGAAGCGATTGTTAATTCAGATTCTACATTTGGATTTAGTTACCAAAATCCATTTAAAGAACTACTGGTAAGAGCGTTGCCACTTAATATAGCCACAAAAATCTCAAGTAAGCTTAAGAAAAATTAAGACCACCCAAATCCAATCCAGGAAAACTAGGAAATGATTCAAAACAATCCTATTAGTATTTGCTAGCAATGAATGGCTCAGAAATCTCATCCAAATCACATTTTAAATAATCTAAGCCCCACTTACATTTTTAAAATAAAGATCTCAAATACTTCTAAAATAAAAGAAAGGACATGTGCATAAAGAATGAAGGTTGAGTGGGAACCAGCAGCAAAACACACATACGTGGCCTGGTGGTGCCTGCATGGGTCGTTTCAAGTCATTGCGTCCTCTACAGGCTCTGATAACAGTTTTGTGACGATGCAAATGTATTTCAGCTTCTAACTGATTCCAAAGTTTATCATGGGCAGGTCCCTTCATATCTCGTCCTAGTAACTGTATCTGCTGGACCCTTCATAATGGGAAAGGAATTCATGCAGTTAGTTTTCCATTATCACAGAGATAAGTAAGAGAAGTAACGAATGAGTACTTTAGCTTAAATCTCAATTAGCAATGAAACAAATTCTTAACTTTCTGCTATCTCTTAGGTTTACAAAGATACAAAGCATGTTGAAAAAAAAAAAACAGTTAACTTCAAGGAAAAATCAGCCTAGAACACTTTTGTTTTCTTAAAAAATGAGTGACAATTCCTTTAGTGATATACATCTAGTGGCTAAAGTCCTTCTCTGGCATGTGACAGGATCTTTAAAAAAGGGAAAGAGATTTAACTCCAAGAAAACCCTTTTAAGGACAATTTCTTTTCACAAATGGTTACTTTAACCCACATTAAGTTCTTCCTTTTTTTTTTTTTTTTAAGATTTACTTTATTTTTATTGGAAAGCCAGATATACAGAGAGGAGGAGAGATAGAGAGGAAGATCTTCTATCTGTTAATTCACTCCCAAGTGACCACAATGGCTGGAGTTGAGCCAATCTGAAGCCATGAACCAGGAGCTTCTTCTAGGTCTCCCACACTGGTGCAGGGTACCAAGGTTTTGGGCCACCCTCAACTGCTTTCCCAGGCCACAAGCAGGGAGCTGGATGGGAAGCGGGGCTGTTGGGATTAGAACCGGCACCCATATTGGGATCCCAGTGCATGCAAGGTGAGGACTTTAGCTGCTAGGCTACTGTGCTGGGCTGGGCCCATTTAATTCACATAAGTTCTTAAAGTTACATTACAACAATGGGAATAAAATGATTTAGTACCAATAATAAATCACCAAGGTTTGTATATAATCTCCTTGACAAAACTAAAGCAACTGAACATCTGGCCATTATTCTGATAAAATAACTGACATTAATTACTTCCAACATATTTCCTAGAGAGGCAGCAAAGATGAGGTATCACAGACCACAGAAGCTCTGCTGCATATGGACTCATCCTTTGTAATCTATCAAGGCAGGAAATGACTGAAAATGCTGTGGATCACATTTCACAGTGTGTTACTTTGTATGTACTGACATCGTGCTTAAAAAGCACAACTAAATCTGTAAAATGTGAAGAAATTTTTAAATGTTCATGGAAAGGGCCTGGTGCAATGGCTCAACAGCTAAATCATCAACTTATAAGGGCCAGGATGCTGCCATATGCGAATCAGCTTATGTCTTGGCTACTCCACTTCCCATCCAGCTCTCTGCTTGTGGCCTAGGAAAGTAGAAGAGGAGGCCCACAGCCTTGGGACCCTGCACCTACATGGGAAATTTGGAAGAAATCTCCTAGCTCTTGGCTTCAGCTTGGCTCAGCTTCAGTCACCGCAGCCACATGGGGAGTGAATCAGAAGATGAAGATCTTTTTGTTTTCCTTCTTTCTGTAAATCTGATTTGCCTTTCCAATAAAAATAAGTAGATCTTTAAAATGAAGTCTTTGTAGAATTCTTTTGCAATACACATTTCCCTTGATCTTTTTGAAGACCCCTGGTATAATACTGCTGACATTAATTTTTTTTAAGATTTTATTTTTTACTGCAAAGTCAGATATATAGAGAGAGGAGAGACAGAGAGAGAAGATCTTCCATCTGATGATTCACTCCTCAAGTGAGCGCAACAGCCGGAGCTGAGCCAATCTGAAGCCAGGACCTGGAACCTCTTCCTCTAGGTCTCCCAAGTGGGTGCAGGGTCCCAAGGCTTTGGAGTGTCCTCCACTACTTTCCCAGGCCACAAGCAGGGAGCTGGATGGGAAGTGGGGCTGCCGGGATTAGAACTGGTCACCATATGGGATTCTGGTGCATGCAAGGTAAGGACTTTAGCTGCTAGGCCATCGTGCCAGGCCCTGCTGACATTAATTTAACATTAAGCGATAAGCATGTGTAAAATACATTTAAAGGTAAAGATTAAAGTTTTATATATATATATATACAAACACACATTCAGTATCACCTAGGAGTAAAAACATTCCCATTTTACACACCTTCCTGCTAGTTCCTTATCCAAATACTTGGCAGCCAGTCTTGCTCCATAAACTTCAGCCTGGAGGACAGCTATGTGTCTGCGAAGCGCCTCATTCTCTTTTCTCAACAATTTCACTTCAGCTTCAAGTTGAGCTTCTTTCACTTTTTCTTTTTTGTTTGCTTCAAGCTCTCTTTCCTATTATTAGTTTTTTAAAAAATTATATTTTAGTGAAAATAAATTTAAAGTAAGCCATGTTCCTTAAAACACACAGATGCATCGTCTATGAGTCTAACACATAACATGAAAAAATGCTCTAAAAACTGCCACTTCATTAAATGTATTCATAAGGTAGACAGACAAGTGTGGGTCTGCTTTATTTATTTATTTTTTGCTTGAACTAAATATGTTGGATTATTTCTAGAGAATGCCATGTGTGCCATCAAATTGACTATATTAAGAGAAGCAGTCTTCTCGAAGCACATGCTAAATAGGCTAACAAATGTGACTTTTATGGAGAGCTGAAGTTGTTGCTTACTTTATAAAACTTACTTTACAACCAGAAGAAAAAAACAGTCTCTCTGGTGATTATTTTCAAATCTATAATAAACTTTGATGCAATAACCCAATATGCAAATTAAAATCATTAACTTAGAGATACATTTTATAACTAATTTATCCTAGGGTCTTGCAACAATTTTCCAGTGCTTAAATTAAAAAAGACATTCTAGTTTTACGGGAAACACTTCAGAGTTACAGAGAACTTCTAGTAACAACTGCAGTTAAGACATTTTCACATGTAACATTTCCATGGCTAATGCAATCTGTTGTGTAGATAATCACTAAATTGTTATTTCTGGTCATCTATCTGTACGTTCAAGTGCATGCAGAAGTGTTTTTTGAGGAAAACACTGGCTTGCCTTGCCTCCTGAGAAACTGGGTAGGCATCCATTCTCTCATAAGATGCCATTTGATGCTCCACTGATTTCGCTAAATCCATATACGAGTTTATAAGTAACAGCCAGAGACCATAGCCTCAAGGTCATGGCCATCAAGTTTTTATCACATATGCAAGAAAAAAAATGTTCAGTTTACCTTAAAAATATAAAATACGGTATCTGTTCCTCTAGGTCAAAGGGTATCAATGTAAATGCTTTTAGAACACAAGCTCAGAATAGACAAGCAGGTACAAAACAAAGTGGAATGCAAAATGAAGTTACAAAGCTGCCCAAATGCTGGCAAATCCAGACTCACACACACAGATTTGTGTGGCCAAGGACAACACCATGAGAATGGAATACAGTCCCCAACAGACATCTTCAGAGCTGTTTTTGGTCAGGAAAACCACCTAAACACTTTAAACTTGCACTTACACTGAGTTAACTCATTGAATTAAAGAATCTCTAAATCCTAGGACAACACAGTGTAATTATTCTTTAAAATGTGGAATATAATGTTCACTAAATCATGTACCATTTATAAGACCGTGAATTTAAAAATTCTTCATTTTAAAGATATGGCAAATAGTAATTTTCTATTGTATAAGCACTTAAAACTAATTTAACTAATTATTTCCATTTTTATTCTGGATATTGAAAGGCTAAGAAACAAATTTAAGCAAACCATCAGCTGGTCTTGGGGGCATATTTTGGTACTAATTTAACTGCCTGCTTTGGTCAGTTTTAACGAACATTAAATAATGATATATTCAAATACAAAACAGTGAGTGCCATTATATATTTAAAAATATATATTTGAAACATATCAACATACAAGTTAAAATCAATGACAACTACCAAAGCTGGATATACTTATCATTTCATTAACAGAACATATCATTAGCAGGGTGTTTCAACTTCTGTAATATTCTGTTTTCCATTATTCAAGGACTTATAGAGTCATAGGGTTAAAAACAACCTTAATTTTAGAAGTTTGGAATTTATAAAACAGGTCCCATATGCTCCACACTCAGCTTCACTTATTACTAGCGTTTTATGTTAGTTTGTCACAGTAAGCCACACTCAGCTTTCCCTAATTTTTAAAAAAAGATATATTCATGTGAAAGGCTGAGTAATAGAAAGGGACAGATAGAAATCTTTCAACCAATGGTTCAATGCCCAAATGGCTGCAACTACTGGGGTTGAGCTAAGCTGAAGCCAAGCGCATAGAATTTCATCTAGGTTTTATGTGATCTGACAGGGGCCCAAGCACGTGGGTCATTTTCTGCTGCATTACCAGCTAAATTAGCAGTGTGATCAGAAGTAGAGCAGTCAGGACTCAAGCCAGTGTTCACAGGGATGGTCACACTGCAAGTAGTGACTTAACCTGCAGTTGGCCCCTTACTTTATTTTTTCTTTTTATGCAAATACCTTCTATTTCTTAGGTATTCTTTTCAAAGGCTATATATATAACAAAATAATTTAGAATTCTCTTTTTGCAACAATTTTCGAGTTATTAAAATCTATTTTATTTCTGAATCTTCTACTTAAAAGGGGAGATAGCAGTTCCAAAGGAAAGCACAATTTGGCTAACATGAACAAATTTGTTTTTTTTAAAATGATGTTTATTGAGAATGTTACCGTTTCAGAAAAAGCATTCACAGAAGACCAAGATTTCTTTACTTTATGGGACAAAGAGATCTTACTTTGAGGATTATGCCCAGTTTTCTTTAGTGAATTATTTCTATTAGTAATATCTGTGAAACAGATTATGCTACCCCATTATTTTAACGATTCAATAAATCTGATAGTTTTGAGCTTGAAATTCACAGATGTTAAGAACAGGATTAAGAAAATTAAATTTTCTTAAAATTAATCATGTCCATATTTACAGAAAAAAAAAATCTTTTGTTTCTCCTTAACTTGATAACAGCCAAGCTACTCATGCTGTACTTAGATATCCACAGTGATTTTTCTAAAGAAACTCCTGAGACAAACTAGAACCTCATAAGGTCAGACAGGTGGGAAAATATTAAAAATTTGTAAGTAACTATTTTCTAAAACTATTTCAGGCAAAACACTCCAAAGCTCATTTGTCTTAAAGGCCACACATTTATTTTCAAACCTTAAAAAACTGGAATACATGCAGAGGAAGAAAAAAACCAACATGCACATTCTTTTTCTTGGAATGGATTCAAATAGAAAATAAGAAGGTTAAAAATTAGACTTGCTTAATATAGCTTTAATAGTAAATATTACTCTTGAGAGGTAAATTCTGAGTAAAATATGAGGCTCAGAAATTGTCAAAAATAATTGCTTTGCACAAACGAAAGGAAAATGATAAACTACATGCAGTGAGAAAAGAGCAATGGGCCAGCTGCCCACTGAGCTTCTCATTACATAGTCATCACCATCATCAACATGTTCTTCCAAGAGTGACAACACGTAAGACGCAAGAAGAAAACACTAAGAACACTTCAGCATGACATATTAAAGCAAAAACACAAATAACATACTTACCAGCTCCTCCACAGAGGGGACAGACTTAAGATATAAGAAAAAAGTTTTATAGTTAGAAAACCATCAAACACATAAATTTATCTAATGGTATAATCACGACAAAGATATTTCCAATCTGTTGAATAATATTTGGGCAAAAATCCACCAAATACATGCTTGTAAATCTGCAAGCAATCATAACTATATGCTATGAGGTTTAAATGTTTTATCAAAACTATTTATATAATTGGCTTGGTGTTCGTTCCACTCCACCACCCTGTTTCAAACCTAACATTGAAACTTCAGCAAAATTGTTTGTTCATGAAAGAGTGAAATGTTCCTCAATGTTTACATCAAACATCTCTAGGAACCATATATGGTCTATTACTTCAGTTAAATAAAACATTACTAACCTAGAATTGCAGAATTCCAGAGTTTAAGAGAACTTAGCTAAATGAACATGCTCATTCTAATTAATGTTAACATGTCAATATTAGAAAATACTCAAATGAAATTATCTAAAAAACGACTAAAATTCAAAAATATATCTACTCTCTTCCTATCAATACCATCTCATGTTCTGCCTCTCCTGAGCTGAGTGTCCCTGCTGTGTCCCCATGACATTAACAAAATGTCCGGCATATAGCATGTACTCGATACACAGAAAACTGGATTGAAATGAGGTTAATTTGTTGTTGTTGTTGTTCTTTAAATATTTATACTAATTCAGAGTGGTAAATTCATACAACAAAATAATGTCAGACCCAGTACAGTAGCCTAGCAGCTAAAGTCCTCCCTTCTCATGCACTGTGATCCCGTGGGGTGCCAGTTGGTATCCTAGTGGCTACACTTCCCATCCAGTTCCCTGCTTGTGGCCTGTGAATGCAGTAGAGAACAGCCCAAAGCCTTGGGACCCTGCACCCTCGAGAGAAACCTGGAAGAAGCTCCTGGCTTCAGATTGGCTCAGGCCACTTGGGGAGTAAACTAATGGATGAAAGATATTTCTCTGTTTCTCCTTTTTTTAAAAATCTGACTTTGTGATAAAGATAAATAAATCTTTAAAACCAATAATAGTGTCACAAAGTATACAGTGGCAGAGAAAATGATTATGTTAAGAGCTAAAGAACAAAATTATGACTGTTTCGCACCCACAATTTGAGCTTTTTCCTTTGATATTCATGGAGGTGGCCACATAATCAACTAAGAAAGTTGACACTCAGCTTTTGATATCCAGTAAGATGCTGGCAGAATCCACCGAGGAGGATTTGACGAAAAGCTCTTTAAGGAAGGCTAGCAACACAGCTGAGAAGCATCTTCTTGCCTTCCCTTAGGATTTCCTCTTTCTGTCTGGAAGGCAGGCATCAGAAAGCCCGAGCATGGAAACTATGAGCTATCAATGGCACAGTCCAACGACAGACTGACGCTGGCTGGCTGACCCCTCAGAGCTGCTCCATTACCTCTGCGCTGCCTGTCTCAGAGCCAGTCACGAACAATCTCCATGCTATTTGCGATTTTTGTTCCATGTGGCTGAATTTAATCTTAACCGATTTCATGGGGTAAAAAACTGTTGTACCTTCACAAATACTGTTTAAATTAATTTATACTCACATGTACATTTGTAAGCAGGAAAAAAATTATTCTAAGCAGCAAGTGGCTCTTGATTGTATTTTCTACATTTCTTAATGAGGACAGGTCAACCCTTTATAAGCTAAAAGTCTTATTAAAAATTGTCTTCTATAACCTCTAAAATGCAAATAAATACATCATGCCACCCATTAAATTACTTACCAATTTCGCTTTAATGGTACCAGAATCAACACTTTGACCAGTTTTCGCATGAAGCTGAAGCTGAATAGAATGCAACTGTAAAAGCTGATCATGGACTTCCTTCTCCAATACAACTTTCTCCGCTTGGGTTTCTGTCAGTTCAGATTTCAGATCCACCAACTGCGCCTTATAAACAATAATGAAAACATTAAGTATACTAAATTTTTTACTCAATTACTACTCAAGAATGATAACAGAGTATTTTTTAAATGAAAGCATAACCACCAGAATTCTATTATCTAACAAAGATACAGGACCTCTATCTAAACGAGTAGTCAATTGCATAAGAGAGATATTCAACAGCAAGAAAACTCTGTTACAAAGAGTATTCTCTACTGACACAGACTTACTTCCATTTTACTTGGCTTACTTGAAGTGTTTCTATTTCAATGTTATCTACAAAGTTGATGAAAATATACAAGTACTGGGGTGCTTCATCATCCTCAGAGATCATGTTATTGTGGTTCAGCAACACCAACAGCATTTTGGAGGAATGGCCAAAATGGTGTTCTGTCCTCTGTCCTCAGAATGCAAGCCCAGATCAGTCTAATGACTATCTTGTAAAGTTATTCCAAGTGCTAAACCATCAGCTACTGAGATTACAGTAAGCCAAAACATCCATGTTCATCATAGGTTTTCAAGTACAGCACAACAATGAGTCATCAGAACGCCCATTTGATGTGCAGGGTTTTTTTTTTTAAAGTTTACTTATTTATTTTGCTTATATGCAAAGCAAAACAGAAAAACTTTGATGTACTGGTTCACTATTCTAGTGCCTAAAACATCTGGGGCTGGGACTGGGCCAGGCCAAATCTGGGACCAGAAGCTCCCTCTGGATGTTCCAGGTAGGTAGCAGGAATCCAAAGACTTAGCATCACCTGTTGCTAAACTGTATATTAGTAGGAAGCTGGATCGGAAGAGGAAGAGGAGCTGGAACTCAATCATAGGTACTTTGATAGACTCTGGCATCCCAAGTAAGAGCCCAATCCATTGTGCCATAGGACTAGTACTGTAGTTCTGGGCCCGGCGGTATGGCCTAGAGGCTAAAGTCCTCACCTTGAACGCCCCGGGATCCCATATGGGCGCCGGTTCTAATCCTAGCAGTTCCACTTCCCATCCAGCTCCCCGCTTGTGGCCTGGGAAAGCAGTCGAGGACGGCCCAAAGCTTTGGGACCCTGCACCCACGTGGGATAACCGGAAGAAGTTTCTGGATCCTGTTTCGGATTGGCATAGCATCAGCCGTGACGCTCACTTGGGGAGCGAATCATCAGACCAAAGATCTTCCTCTCTGTCTCTCCTCCTCTCTGTATATCTCACTTTCCAATAAATAAATAAATCTCAAAAAAAAAAAAAAAAAAGACTAGTACTGTAGTTCTTCAAGTAACAGGAAAGCTATGATGGTACCTTAGCCTAACACTGTGCAGCAAAAATATCATAATCGTCACATACAGAACTTATTTTTTTCTAGAAGTTAGACTTTAAAAACAAAATAGATGGAGTAATTTTATAACATGTTCTATTCACCATATTCAAGGTATCATCATCTATGCATATAATCAACATAACAATTATGCAGGCATGACCTTTTTTTTTAAACAAATCCATTGTGTATATTTTCCTTACAGCACATTTTAATCAGGACCCGCCTTATGGCAGCTTCTTTGCCTTCACCAGATCAAGCTCAAGCCTAAGTTCTTCCTCCCTTCCGACCTCATAAAGCAAAAAGAAAGCAATCCACCAATAAGCAAAGAGCCTTCTCTCTCCTGTGGCTTTGGACTCCATTTACCTTAACAGGGAGACTGGGGTCACCATTTGACTTTGCATCCCCTTTGAAAGAAAGGTTTGCTTTGTTAAACTTACATTCCATTACACTCGCTTTCATTCTGCATTTGTCCTAATTGTTCTCTCATAATATTGCCTAATTCATTTTTCTATTTCTTATTTCTATTTAAGTTTCTCATATTACTTGTAAACTGGAAGTAAAATCCAAAAGTTTAGTTACATTCTCTTAAATCATTTTCATAAAAAATATTGGGCACGATGCACGCTTCATCAACAGGCATATTTAGTTGTGCTACTGTGACTTATCGTTTACACTACAAGTAACATGATGTTAATAAATAAGTACATCTTAATAAAGAGGCATAAATTTGACTTATTAATTTGGCAGATCAATATACAAATCAAAAATATTTATTCAAAATAGTCAAGGAAAACAGAACAAGGTGAATGTCTTTTGAAAGTTCAACTAGCTAATTTTCTGTCTGGAAGTATCAGCATCTCATATGGGCACTATTTTGTGTCCTGGCTGCACTGTTCTCCATCCAGCTCTTTGCTTATGGCTTGGGAAAGTCCTGGAGGGAGGATGGCCCAAGGCCTTGAGACCCTGTACCCATGTTGGAGACCTGGAAGAGGCCCCTGGCTTCGGACCTGCTTAGCTCCGGCTATTGCAGTCATTCAGGGAGTGAACCTGCAGATGGAAGATCTTTCTCTGTCTCTCACCTTCTCTCTGTAAATATACCTTTCTAATGAAAATAAATAAATCTTTTTATTAAAAAAGGAAGAAAGTGGTCTATTTGCCAGCATGTAATGCAGTGGGCTAAACTGCCATTTGTGATGCCAGTTTTGAGTTCCTACTGCTCCAGTTCCCATTTAGCTCTGCGAAAACAAAGCAGCAGAAGCTGGCCAAGTGCTTGGGCTTCTCATGGGAGACCCTGTTGAAGTTTCAGGCTCTCGCTTTGGTCTGGCCAAGCTCCGCCTGTTACATTCACTTGGCAAATGAACTAGCTGACAGAAGAGGATTCACACTCTATCTCTCTCTCTCCAACCCTGCAAATGGATAAATAAGCAAACAACCTTTTAAAAAAGGAAAATGACCTATTATAAATATGAACTTTTCCTTAAATAAAGTGATTTCTCAAAAAGTTGTTCAATGTAGCAGAAAATAAATTTAAAAAATATTTAGGAGCTGGCATTATAGTATAGAAGGTAAAAGCTGTCTGTGACACCCACATGCCATGCAGATACCAGCTCATGTCCTGGATGTTCAACTTGTGTTCCAGCTCCCTGCCAATGGCCTGGGAAAAGCAGCAGAAAGTGGCTCAAGTTGCTTGGGACCCCACCTCCAAGTGGGAGACCTGAAAAAAAAAACAGCTGACTTTGGTCCTGCACAATCCCAGCCATTAACAGCAATCTCCAGAGTGAACCAAGGGATAAAAGATCCTGTCTCTCTCTTTGTAACGCTTTCAAATAAATAAACCATTACAAATACAGGCATCAAAATTCAAGGTCCAATCTCACTTTTTTTATAACAGGCTAAGATTTCAAAACTGTTCTAAGTTTAGTAATATTGAAGTAACTGCTTATCTATAAGCAATTTACCTTCTCAGAAAAGTTATTGGTAAGTCTTATATTAAGGATAAAAACTGTATGTATTTTTATTTAATAGTTTACTCTTCTAAGATCATAGAGTTCTGGAACTAAAACAGATTTTAGATAATAGAAGTTATGATATTTAATATTAAAATGTTTAAGGTAAATCAAGACAGCTTTTATTTCTATGCATACCCATAGCACTTGAATTCAAATTCTTTTTTAAAGATTTTTTAACATTTTATTATTATTATCATTGTATGATGCAGTTCCATATTCCCTTATCCCCTCCCATATCATTAACTAACATATAGTTCTTCATACTCGGTCATATGTCTATCATTGCGGGCATGGACAATGGCAGAGAGTCCAGCATCCTATTGTCAAGATATAGTAAACAGTTTCATTGTAAGTCCATCTTTGTCTGGAAGCAGAAATGCATACTACATTGTATCCTCACATCTGGATGTTAGTCTCCCTTTCACAGCTACTGTACATCCCCTTAAATGAAAACTCATGATACACAATCAACAATAGAAAGAGAAATTCACAATGCATGAAGTTAAATAACATGTTACTAGATATGACAGTCTCCATTACATAGCTACTATACATCCCCTTCAGTGAAAAGCCACAAAACAAAATCAACATTAGGGAGAAAAAAGAAATTAACACCACCATGAAGTTAAATAACATGCTACTAAATGACTAACATGTAGCTGAAGAAATGAAAATCAAGAACCTTCTTGACGAAAATGGTGTTACTGTATGAGCTGAGTCACTGAATGATTTAATCAGAAGAAAGTATTTTGAAGAGATGAAACCAACAGAAAACAACAAAACCCATGTGATACAGTTTCCGCTGATCTTTGTTGGTGAAGTGTGTCTCCACCAGATAATAAACGGATGGGTTTATTTGTTTTTTTTTTTGTTCGTTTATCCAGTCTACTAATCTATGGTGTTTGATTGAGCTTAAGCCATTTACATTCAGAGTTTAATATGTATGGGTGGTACTTTGGTCCTGTCACTTCAGGAATGGGTTGTTCATTGGTTTAGTCTTCCGTTGTCTTTTTACTGGGATGTTCTTCCCATTTGCCTTTGGTTTTGGTAGGTGCTATTCTTCTCTGTCAAGAGAACAACTTGAAGTATCATTTGTAGGGCAGGTTTGAAAGAGGCAAATTCTTTTAACTTTTCTTTACTGGAAGTTACTGTCAAGTAGGTAGCCATAAGGAAATACTGGCTTCAATAGCCATGGTATATATGTTTAACTTATCAAGAATCTTCACACTACCACAAAGTAAGCATCTACCACCATATGGCAGGCACACATAGCCCATACGGTATCTAATTCTTATTATATTCTACTTTTATAAGTTAAGAAAACTGGAAAAATTAAATTTTCCAATGATCACACAGCTAGTAACTGTACTCAAAATCTGATCATTAAAAAAAAGAAACCTTAGGCATCTATCAACCCAATGTCTTAACCAGATTATACTGTAATTAATCAAGTTAAAAGAAAAAACAGTGGATTTGTTTTCAACTTTACTTACTTCAAAATGTCAGTCACAAAATGTTTTATAAAATAGTTAAAGCTATACTATGTACTTCATTTGGTTAACAATTTTTTTACTTTGTCATAACTAATCATGACATTTCTGAAAATTAAAACTATCAATAATATTCTTCCCCTAGAATTTACTAAAGAATTTCGTTCTAGGAGGGTCTCCAGGTCTTTACCCAAGCCACTGAAT